ATTCTTATGGATCTCCCTCAACCACAATCAAGTAGAAGAGGGAGATGAGATATTAAAAAAGATAATTATGGTATTTTAAAAAAAATATATCATATTTCTTATAATTAACTAACTTATCTAATTTTTTTAATCTAATCAAATTAGTTAAACAAGTCTCATATTAAAGACCGGAGGAGTAACTATCAAAAAGTCCTAATGACAAGTAAGAAATTATTTTTTTTTTACTATGAAACTTGTCATTATAAGCTGCTTAATTGTTATTGAGACTTTATAACAATTGTTTTCTTTTTTAGGACTTAACTGCAATTCTCTCAAAATTAATATTTTAATTCCTATTGTTTTGACTCTGCTATAACCTAATATTTAAATTTTAACTTGATGCAATTAAGATCATTTGATTTAATTGAATTCCGGTCTTTAAACTTTAATTCACTATATATTATCCAGTCCTTACTTAAAATTTTAGTCCCCAAGCTTCATGAAATGTGTAATCTTATTTTATAAAACATATAAAACATAGAAAGTAAATAAGAATTCAGTTACGAAACTGAATAAAAAGTAAAGATAAAAGAAATGAGAAGATGGGAATGGAGATGTAAAGGGCAGCACAGACAAATTGGGTGGCCCAAGCCCCGAAGAAAAAATGTGGATAGCTGAATTGTGGGGGCTGTATTAATGGAGCCAACGAAATGTATGTAGCATCAGGATTCCCCCGTCTTTTACTTTTGGATCAATTTGGATGGATTGGATTCTTCTCCTTTTGGGCAGAAAACACGTGCTCTTATCTTATGCCCCCTAAAATCTAGATTATAAAACTTTGAATTTGAAATCTTTTTGAATAAAGGTTCAGGTAAAGCAATATTTGGGGGGTGGCTTTTCTCCACTTATGGCTGTAACCCTGGACTATTGGATTGATTTTTTATTTATTTAGATTTAATAATTTTTAAAAGCACAAGCCAATTTGTTCTATTTGAATTTGATGTGAGTGATCAAGAATTGCAATGAAAGCGCATTGAAGAGCATCCAAACCAATCATGTTTTTGAGTCCCAAAACAAAACAAAAAAATTCATGTTCAATTTGATTATATTATACAAATTTGTAGTATAAAGCATTTTTACATCCTAGAGCTTCAACCTAGTCCCATTCATTTTCGGTGCAAGAATACTTGATCAGGGAGCTATTACGCACTCTCTCAAGAGTGACTGCTTTTAGCCTGGCCTTTTCGTATTATTTTAAAATTATTCTTTGGTCTTTATAATCTTAACTTAATTGTAACTTTGTTTTTAAATTTTAATTGGATGCCATTCAGACCTGTTCTAACTTATTGTAACTCAGTTTTTAAACTTTGATTTATTATAATCCAATCTTTATATCTTTAATTACTTAAAATTTAGTTCCCTAAATTTTATGATATTTTTAAAAATATAGGGAAAAAAGTTTTAAATGTTTAAAATGATAGAGATTAAAGTTAAAGTTTAAAAGTTGAGTTATAGTTACCAAATTTAAAAACCACTCTTATTGTTTTATTTATAAGGCAGAGAGAGAAGGTTGGTCTTATTTATAAGTTACTTCATTAAATTTTTAACATGGAAGCACTATTTTATCTAGGGGTGTTCATGAAGCCCAGTTGCCCGTAATGCCCACCCAAGCCCGCCCTTAAAAAAATGGCCCAAAAGAATTATTGGGCATGTTTGGGCTGGGCAAATTGTTGGACAAGGTTGGGAATCGGGCACGGTATGCTACCCTGCCCATTTGGCCCTGCCCGCAAAAATATATATTATTTTATTTGCCTCATATTTATTTTCTGAATCAAACATATTGTTGCATTAATAGTCAATGTTCATTATACTTATTTATTTTTGAATGATTTTAAGAGTTAGAAACTAGAAAAACAATTAAGTTTAATAAAATATACAAACAATATTTTTTTTGTTATAGTCCACTTCTCCTAGCTACTACAAAAAGTAATTTTCTAGTATATTAATTAGTAATAACAAAATTAAAGCTAAGTTGCCATTTTAATATAAAGCTACGTTAGATTATTTAGAGGAACATAAATAATTAGTTAATTAATAGGGTTAATTAATCTGCAAGTCCTTATAGTTTTAACGAATTTTGAATCAGGTCCCTATAGTTTTTTTTCTTTTTATCAGGTCCTTATACTTTTACCTTTTTTTAATTAGGTCCTTGTATTTATTTTTCTTTTAATTAAGTCCTTATAATTTCACTAAATTTTTAATCAAGTCCATGTAGTTTTAATTTTTATTTATTAATTAAATATAAACTTAATTAAATAGATTAATACTGAAATATAAAATATTAATAATTAAATTAAATTAATAATTATGTAATAAAAAAGTAATAGAATTAATTAATTCAGGAAAATTCTTTAGAACAATTAATTTTTTTGCTGAAAAAATTAAAATCATTATAATAATTCAATATCTCTAGAATATTATTGTTTATAAACTAATATTAAATAATATATACTATTTTATGTTTATATAATAGTACTATTAGAATTTATAAAATAAAGAATAAAAAATTCAGGGACTTAATTAAAAATAAGGTGAACTTATAAGGACTTGATAAAAAGAAAAATAAATACAAGGACCTAATTAAAAACAGGTGAAAGTATAAGGACCTGATAAAAAGAAAAAAAACTATAAGGACCTGATTCAAAATTAATTGAAACTATAAGGAGCTGTGGATTAATTATCCCTAATTAATATAATATATTGACTTGTTAGGCATGGAAGCCTGCCCTGCCTAGCCCGAACTTAATAGGCATTTTCATGGACAGGGCTGGGTAACGGGCTGCATTTTCTAACCCGTTCATTTTTCAGGTTGGGCATCGTGCAAGGGTTTCGCTCTGCCCAACCCATGTGCAGTCCTAATTTTATCCTTCATTTATTATAGTGTAGATAATTACTTTTTTTTAAAGATATATATTATATAGAGGTAAAGTTGAAATGTTATTATATTTTGATAGATAATTAATCCAGTTTAAGATTTTTCTTAATCTGTGTAAAATATATTAAAAGTGCCTTATAAATAGGATCAAAGGAATAAGTTATAACCTGTTTGGAACGTATCCTCTCCCCTCCTCTTCATTTCTCTAATAATCGGATTAACATATTTCAATAGTTCAGATTTCAATTTTTTATAAACTATTTATAATTTTTTTAAAATATCTAGTACATTTGCAAACCATTAGAATTAAATTTTAATATAGTTTCTAATTTATTATTTATTTATTTTTATAATTTAATAAATTAATAATATTTTTAAAAGGTTTAAATCTTAACAGTTGAAATATTAATCTAAGAGTTAAAAAAAGAAAGATGAGAAAAAACGAGGAGAAGGAAAGACGAAAGATTCTAAAACCAAGTGAAAATAGTCAAAACCAAAAAAAAAAAAAAAAAAAACCGAAAGAGGGGTAAATTGTGGGGTCCCCATTTGGTGCTTATCAGGTAATGAGCAATTTGGACCGTTCAGATCTAATTTAGACGGTCCAGATTTAATATTATTAAATAATTATTTTAAAATAAAAAATTATATTTTTAAAGAACGATAGTTAAGAAATTATCTTTATTTTTTATCCTATACCTATTAAAATAATTATTTTTAAAAAATAAAAATAAATCTGAATCGTCTAGATCAGATTTGGACGATTCAGATATGATGAGCACCCAATATAAATCCGTAAATTGCAAGGGATTGGACCAACTCTCCGTCAAAGGAATTAATCATCAGGGTGCATGCGATCATGTTGGCCCTCTCTGTTTTTTTTTTTGTTTTGTTTTTGACCAGAGGGGCCTCTCTGTTTCATACTTTCATTTGCCAATGAGAAAAATAAAAAAGAAAATGAAACTTTTTTATTTAATAAACAGTAACATTATAGTTTAAATAAGGAGGATGATAGTTAATGCTTGACAAGATAAATAATGATAATTAAGAACCTTAATCTAAAATGACGCTGAAGGATCCAATGGAATCCTTGGCTAAAAGTAAAAAGATGGTTATAGAATAAGATGCTTTTGTTATCTGAAACATTGCAGAGTTCAAAAATCGAAAACTCTTCAGAAAAATTAGGAGCTCAACAATACATATACATACTAAAAGCTCATTTACTGAAACAATTAAGGATCTGTTATCAAAAGGCAATTAAGTATCTAAAAAGCATTCCAAGGTTCACTAGAAGGCGCAAGACTTTTTCTGCCGACATTTTCGCGGTGACGACAGAAGTATCCGCTCAAAGTGGAGATTTTTCAAGAAAGGTTAATCTCCGTTGTGAAGAATGTACCTCTTCATCTGTTTTCTTCAGTGAAGCTTGAGCTTTACACAACATATTATCAACAGACCTGGTCTTTAACTCATTCATATATGATCTTAACTGATTAACACAAGTCAGGTCAAAAAAAAGAAACTAATTAACACAAGATGTTAACCAACTACTATGATTTAATGTCTGCAACTCGCCCCTTAAATTCATACCACCTCAACTTAAAGGAGCTTTACTTGCCAACAGAAACTACAAGGGAGGTGAAATGAATTAAACTAGATGACAATGTTCTTGACCTTATCTGGGTGGGTTGAGACAACCCAATCGAATAAAGTGTCTGACGAAAGAAACTTGGTTTCATTTTGCTCTGATAGGCCTAATCTGGAACTAAGGAGGATGGTTTTGAAGACTGCATTTTGGTGAGGTAAGGTTCGTTGTTGTGTCTTCTGATCTTCCCCCCTCTAGTTGAGTTGTTTGGCAACAATCTTTTATGCCCAACAGGGGATTGCTTGACCATCGTGGATACTTCCATTAATCTTGGTCAATCACTAAGCCAGTATAGCTTTCAGTGGGTTGTTCTTGCAGCCGTTAAGGAGATTGGGCTTTGGTGCCCCATCCCCTTTTACTCCCTTCCTGGACGGAGGATCAGAAGTATCTTTGATTTGTTATCTTTATTTTGTTTCGAATGACTCTGGTTTTGCTTTTTCACTGATAGAATCTCTTTGGACCAGAAAAAAGACAAAATTTAAACAGTATCAAGAGACCCGTGACCAGGTATGCTCCAACGAGTTTGTGGCAGAAGTAGCGAGAAGGTGGAAAAGGGTTCACAGATGACAATAGGGGAAGCGGCGGCGGCTTCAACGCTGGTCATGGCCTTCGTCATAGGCCTTCTCTGCCTTTACCTAACCATGCCTGATTCTGATTACACATTCCTCAAGCTCCCTCGTACCCTCCAAGATCTCCAGCTCCTCCGGCAACTGTTTCATTCTATTTTCCGTTTCAAGATTTCACTCCCTCACCGCGAATTGTTCCAACATTAGTAATTATAACTTCGTCGGTAGCTTTTCCCTCTGTATTAACTTGTAAGCTTGGTTCTGCTGGTACGTTTTATCTGATTTACAGAGACAGTTTGTTTTTAACCGTTTGGGCACAAAACCATCATTTAGGTGAGTTTGGGGTTGTACTCGGACGAGTGATTCCTTGCATAATCCCATCTTTCCTCCGTTCAAAATGTGGAGAATAATGTAGCGAAGAAGGATCAATTTTGGAACAATGCGCTTAAGCTCTTTTCTTTCTCCTATTTCAGTACTCACAGGGAAAATGGAAGACGTAAAAATGCTAGGCATAGATCCTAATATTCAGCAGCTTCAAATGAAAAGCAGTTACTGCAAGTACAATTCATGGGGCGGATAATCATCTAAGCTGTTAATAATAATACGCTTGAGTTGAACTTTAACCTGTGATTCAAGAAAAGGAGGGGAAAAGAAAAGATAACATCAAACCAAGAATAAAGTGATGGTAGCTGCCATCATTTCGAAATACGCACGTACCTTTGACTCTGTTTTGTACATAATGTTGCCTCTTCTCCATATATAAATATTTAGCCAATTGTGCTCACAGGGGTAAAATATGAAGAGTGCTGAGCGGTAAGCCACTAAGTTGATAACATATGTGGTACTATGATCTTTCTGTTGCAGAGACGACCTTGAGAGGTATACGAGTGAGTACACTGCAAAAGTGCTGGTGGGGTGCTGCTTGGTTTATATTTTCATGCAGACTTTGATGTTTCCTGGGACTGTGTTCTTGTCATTGCTTGCTGGAGCTCTCTTTGGGATCCTCAAAGGTTTAGTTCTGGTCGTGTGCACTGCCACAGTAGGAGCTTCTTCTTGCTATTTCTTGTCAAAACTCGTTGGTCGGCCCATTGTGTTGTCTCTTTGGCCAGACAAGCTCAGGTTCTTCCAAAACCAGGTTAAATCCAAATCCTCCATCTCTCTGTGAGTGTTTATTGAATCTAAGCGGGATCGAGACATGGAAATAAGTTGTGCTTTTGAGTTGTAGGTGGCAAAGAGAAGGGAGAATTTGTTGAACTATATGCTTTTTCTGAGACTGACTCCAACGTTGCCTCATACATTCATAAATGTTGCTTCGCCCATGGTGGACGTGCCTTTTCATATATTTTTCCTGGGAACTTTCGTGGGACTCATACCAGCTGCTTTTGTCACAGTTAGGGTACGAAGCCATTCGGTTTTTTTTTCCCCACATCATATATCTAACTAAAAATTACTCATGGGCAAAAATCATACAACTAATTTGTCATGAAAAGTTTAATAACAGAACTATACAACAGGAGATATGATTCATGTAGCTTCACATTGTTGTGGAAGCAGGCTAGGTTTGCTCTGGGAGAGTTGAAAGCTTTGAGGGATCTGTATAATTTCAACTCAATCGCTACATTGTTTCTTATTGGGATTGTTTCAGTTGTGCCCACACTGATGAGCAAGAGCAAGTCATAGTATTGCAGTTGCAGGGGCCAGCCTTTTCTTGTGCCTTGTGGTTCCATATTCTTCTGTTATTTTCCTTCATCCAAAGATTATTAGTAACTTCTCTAGCACAGACTTGATGCCTGTGGAAAGTAACTCTTTATATCCATAACGGTCCTAAAGGAGCACCCATCACAAACAGTAACTCTTGTGGTGCTTTTAGGATTCCCCCCCCCCCATTCCACAAACTAATTATCGATCCCACTTTTCAAATATTTAAATCATGCTTAAATTTTGGGGAAAAAATTGGAAGAATTTGAAAATAAAATTTACATGGAAGCTGAGATGGACCATTGAGCTGCTGAGCGATGGCCAGCCATCCACTTCAAATTCACAGTGCCATCATAAAGACTTGCATTGAAGAGATGCAAAATAAATAATTCCTGCAGTAGTTAACTGACATTAATCTTCCTTTCGCAGCGTACGTGGTGTAAGAAAAAGTTATGCCTACCTTCACATGTTATTGGGCCATTCTTTAAAAATGGGTTGTCTGGGTATATGTTTACCAGGAATATAACTCCTAAGTCCTACTTGGACCACTGATAAAAATTAGTTTAATTAGTAAAAAATTGACTTATAACTCACAAAGTCATGAGTTTAAATCTCACTACTGATATGATAACTTTATTAGTAGGCAATCTGTAAGTATTTTTAAAAGTATTCTCTAAATCTGAAAGCATATCTTGATCCTGGTAAGTTTCCGGATCTAATTCATATAAATTTTATTCTATTAAGGGAAAAAAAAAGTCATACTTGGGCCAGAACTCCTAATAGTGCTCATTCTGAAATCAGCAAAAGTCATAAACATCAAAATCTGATTCCTCATTCTTTGCTTCGAAAACGCAACAAGGAACTTCCTAGTAAGTAGTAACCCCACCCATCATGAAAGGAATCTAAACACTCGTCATTCACTCGTCTCCCACTCCCACCCATCTCAAATTTGGGGATTTTGTTACAAAACGACGTTGTTTTGCTAATTAAGCAAGTTCATCCGTCAGATTAATCGGATGATGGAAAATGCACGCCACAGAGAAAGCTGACCGAATAGCCGAACACGAATGAACGAAGCCACAATTGAGAACAGATATTTTATGTCATCCCAATTATTTGTTCCACTGTTGAACAAGTGGGAAGGTGTTAGTAAGTAGCGTCCTTTCAACTTATCCATTAAAAAGTAATGTACTACTATCTCCGGTCCTTATTATAAGACTCCATTTGACTTTTTATTTGGTCTTAATTATAATACCCCAATCCAGTTTATCTCTTATATTTATGCATTTTTTTCCAAGATAATCCTTCTAATAATGATAGTTCTAGCCAATATACTTAATTAGCAAGGATATTTTAGGAATGACAACACTTATTTATTACAAATAATCAACTTAACTTACTTTCTTAATCTCCTCAAATAAGTCAACTGGGTCTTATAATTAGGACCGGAGGTAGTATCATATAAGATGTTTGTGTTTAAAAGATAAATAAAACAAGAGGAAGTAAATATGCATGGTTGTACAAATGTTAAACATCCCATTTATATATTCTGATTTTGTGCAGGATTGAAGGCCAACGAAACAAGCCACCATGTGCAACTGTCATCGTTTGGTACACCGCCCTCATGAAGGGACTTTGGAAATGGAACAAAAAAATACACGACAACCACGGGGGTTTTTTTTTTTTTTTTTGCGGGGTGACAACAACCGTAAGGACTTGACTACTCCGCGGCTTTATCTTGTTGTTTGGAATTAATACTACCTCCGGTCCTAATTATAAGACCCTGTTGACTTATTTGAGGAGATTAAGGAAGTAAGTTAAATTAGTTATTTGTAATAAATAAGTGTTGTCATTCCTAAAATATCCTTGCTAATTAAGTATATTGGCTAGAACTATCATTATTAGAAAGATTATTTTGGAAAAAATGCATAAATATGAGAGATAAAATGGATTGGAGTCTTATAATTAGGACCAAACAAAAAGTTAAACAGGGTCTTATAATAAGGACCGGAGGTAATAGAATTTATCCTTTTTACTGGAATTATAGACTAATTCAAACAAAAGTCGTTTTCTTCTGAAATGCTTAGCCATGATTAATATTTGGTATTTTATTTAATAATGTGCTGATTAGCTGTTTCCAGTTCATTAAAACAAAATATAATGGCCCCATTTGGATTGAACTCAATGTCATATGCATGACGTATTGTGTAAGGATGCAAAACAAAATCATTCAGATAACCATCTTTATAGGCTAGAAAGCATTTATTTCATTTCAATCAGGGAGGAGTTTATGAATAAAGATTAAGCTGTGGTTGACTACATACGGATTCTAATCTGATTTTGTTTGGCAGGGAAACTTCGTAAATTAATTAGACCTTGACTTCTACGTGTGCCTACGTTTCCAGTTCCCCGATCTCATCCGCTCCAGTCCATTTTATTATTGGTCAAGAGATCATACGAATCAGTAACTCAAATTCAAATTCAGATAAGAGCAAACTGGATGTAAAGTTCAAATCATATCTTTGATTATTGAATTTGTTCCACTGTTTTGGAAGATATTATTAATTATTGTTGGGAGCATGCGTATTCCTCACATTTAACTATAGATAAGCATCTCAACATTCACTTTCCTTCGAGACAATGAAATCTACCACATAGACCATCAAAATAAGAAACTACCTCCAATCCTCATCATGGAAGCAGTAGAAAACTTGAGAGGGCACAATGGAAACATCTTCATCAATAATAACGGGAAGCCCCTTAAGACTTCTTAGTTATTTATATTTATTTACCATATCCATTATACATGCAACAAAAATTAGTTGTAAGGTACAAAATTTACATCTCTATACCCTCAAAAGCCGCTCTAAGGGATAATGTTCAACCGACATTTTATCTGCAAACAGAGTTACAGGGTGCCCGCCGTAAAGAAACAAGGAACAGAAAACGACACTCAACTTTCATTATCACTCCCTCACCCTCTGGATCCGTTCTTGGAGCTTCCAGTTAGATACATACATCGCCAATTATTCTTCTCTTGGGTTATTTTCATATTCAATGCCACTTACATATATTGCACAAACCGCCATTCACTTCATCTCAAATTTTTTGTTTCATATTCATGTCATTAACGAGCAGCTGTCCCCTCCGTCGCCATTCTGTTTGCACCATCTTCTTCTTCTTCCTCCTCTGCTTCCCACAGGAAGTGCGCATAGGACCCCAAAATGGAGCTTCAAGTAAGAAAGTGACTGTTATTATTGCGTGTTCGGTTTTCAAGAAAAATTTCTAAAGCCAATTTATATTTTAAAGGAGAAGATGAAGAAGTAAGATACCAGTCGTTAGGGGAGGCATGAACGGCGTGTTCGAAGTAAGATTCGGCTCTGCCTTCGTCTCTCTGTGTTTCCCATATGAGCTTCCCGTACAGAGAAAGCAACTCGCCATCTCCAGGATTCGCAAGGATTGCTCTTCCGTAATATTCCTCTGCTCTCACAGCGTCCTTCTCCACCTGCGCCAGTAGATCGTATGATTATAGGTTCACTTAGAGATCATCCACATGTAAGATTCTTATGGAAATTGAAGATTCTAGAAGTTACCTCATAAAGAAATTTCCCGTAATTCCCTAGCAGAAGTGCGTCTGTTGGGTTTGATTTGAGCACTTCCTTATAGTACGCACCTATTTTCACCCTATCACCATCGTTTCCACCGGTGACTGTCGCGATCCCGTCGTCACGCCCGCTTCCGACTCCACCACCGAATCCAAACTCCTCCGTCAAGATTCCAATGTCAGGTCGAACTCCGGCATAGTTCGACTTACCTCCGATGTCGCACCATTCGCTTTCGTATAGGACTTCGTCGCCCGACACAGTGGCCGGAAAAGAACGTGACCCAGATTGCTTCATCTTCCGGGAAACACCGAAACTCTCAGTAGCCGATCGAATCGCGTCACTTTCAGATAACGCTCTGTCGATCATCCTCGGAGGAGTATCTCTCTGGTCAGGGGAATGGAGATTCAGCGAAATCGAGGAAGAACGACGGGGAATGTGATCGCGGGGGAGCGAAGCATGACTGGACAAAGAAGAGTAGGAAAAACCGGAAAAGACCGGCTTCTGAACCGGACCAGAGCCGGTTCTGAAGAGAGAAGCACTCATGGCTTTCATGTGAAGCTCGAGTGGGAAGAGAGAGGGTGAGCGAGGGTGAAGGAAGACCCGGAAGCTCTGGCTTAGTCAAGAGTTTGCAGAGCGCGAGGGAAGACTATATATGGAAACATGGGCGAATATAGGTCGTTGGATGGGATGAGGAGGTTGACCTGAGAGAGAAGGAGATGAGAACACGTGGCGGGGGTTCACGTGAGGCCGTGAGGCGGGGAGGGGAGATGGAAGTACGGAGAAGATGGAGCTTTCCTGTGGGAGGAGGCCAGGAGGGAGGCAGCAGGCGAGAAGAACGTGATCGAGCATTCATCCAACGCCACGTGTGGTGGGGGCATTTATTACTCTGAAATTCCTGAAATTATTGGGCGGAGTCAATTTCAAGTACTCCATAAAAATAATTTTATTTTAATTAATTTTTACAAATTAAAATCAAGTTAAAAATGAATAACTATTAACTAGTGTGATATGGTTTGTGTTTAGACTTTTTAGGTTAAAAAATTATTTATCTCTAAAATCATGTTAAATATTGTCTTTAGTTTTTAATATAAGAATTAATTAACTAATTTGAGCAGATTAAAAAAAATTAGTTAAATTAGTTATTTATAATAAATAGGCGTTATCTTTCCTAAAATACTCTTTATAATGATCTGTAATAGCTAAAACTATTATTTAATAAAATTTTTAAGATGTACAACTAATACAAAAATTATCTTAAAAAAATTTGATAAATATAAAAGATTAAATGGCTTGATATCTTATATTTAAAATTAAATTAAATGTTAAATTAGCTTTTATGTTAAAAACTTGAGCAAAGATCATTTTGATCTTAATTGACATTTTAAGTTAGAAAACTTAGATGTGATGTGGCTTTTCCATGCCAATCATAGCATAATACATCAGAAATTACAGGCCGAAATCGAAGTAAACTTCGGGCAGTTTAAGGAAGTAGTATTGTTGAGGCGGCGCTGGATTTTATAAGACGAAAACAGGTCATTAGTAAACCAACATATCCAGACCACTAAAAATAGATTCTCTGGAAGGCTGTTTTAATTTTTAAACAGGATAAATTTACGGTTTAAAAATAAGTTTCAGTAAAAAGTGCCTAATATTAGATATAAATCTCAGGCATTGGAGAAAATCGACAAATTTCAGCAGCACTGACTCGCTGGTGAATACAATAGCTGATTGCTCCACTGCCCATCTTAATATACAATTTTTTTTAATATACAGATCTTAATATACATTTGAATAAATGTTTCTCGCTGAGCTTCAGTTTTCGTTTTGGTAAAGGTCAGATAACTATAATTTAACCCTGTAAGGAATCAAGCCGAAGTGAAGAGGCGACAAAAACTTGCTCTTGCTCTGATTAACCGAAAATAGTGAAATTTCAGAAGTGGCTAAAGGAGTAACCAGATTAAATCGCGATACAAACAAATAATTGTGGACCTTCTTGTTATGTTACATTTTTTTTTTAACTTCCATAAATTACATAGACCCATATATATATATATATATTAGCTGTATGAAACTAGTATTTCTTTTAAGCACAGATATTCTTCTATTAAAAATACCACTTCAAGTAAAAAATTCAAATCTTGATTGGTTGAGTTTCAGTTTCCATTTTGGGCCTTGAAAAAACAAGCTTCCAAATTCAGATCTTTTTGGTAAAGGTCAGATAACTATGATTGAACCCTGTGAGGAATCAAGCCCAGTTGAAGAAGCGACAAAACGCTGCTCTTGTTCTCTGTAGGTTTCGTGGTTGTTGTTCTTTTGTCATCATCCAGCAGTAATTTCACAAGCGAATTTTATTTTTCCACTTATTATTTTCTTGGCTGTGCTTTTATGGAGCCTTGAACTCTTCGCTAATAAAAGGCCAGAGTGGATTCATGAATCTAAGAGAGTTGTTGGTTTGCATATATAACAATGGGCAAGCAAATGGTTAGAACTGGGTTTATTGTTTCTTTCTGTGTTCGCCGATGGTTTTTTGCCAAAAATGGTTTCGAGGATGACAGTGAAGTTAAAAGCGGCTCAGCCTACTCTCTCAGTTGACTCCAAAATTTGTTCTTTTCTATCAAGTTGCTCCCCCCAAGATAAGCCTCATCATTCACTGCCTTCTTTTTGGACCTTCTGTTGCCCCGCTATAATTCCAGATTTAATGACTTTGAATTTTTTTAATTGTTTTAAAATTTATGCCAAAAAATTCCATTCATAAAATAGTGCCCGAAATTTGCAAAAAGATAAAAAATAAATAAATGAAGTCATGAAAAAAAAAATCAAATGGGTCGAGGTTTATTTAATCAAAAACTATCTTTCTTTATGCCAAAATCATAACAATTTGTGAAAAAATAATTTATGACATTTGACGCAATCGCGAGTACCTGAGCAAACTCCCAATGACATTTTTTTTTTAGCATTTTTTGCCAGAAAATAACAATATCATGAAACCAAGATAAATTTTTAATATAAGGGTTAATACAAATTTTAGTCCTTTAAATTTGTTCTTGTTTTGGTTTTGGTCCATCAAATTTTAAAACATAGGTTTTGGTCTCTTAATTTTTTTCATTTAAAAATTAATCCCTATAATTTAATAAAAATTTGGACTATTTTACCCCTCAACTTGAAAAACTAAAGATTATATTAACCCTTAACACAATAACAAAGCATAACACCCAAAAACATAAACCACCCAACTAGCAAAAGTAAAATCGACCATGATTATTAACGGATGCAACACCAATTCAATGAAGCTTTAGCAACTCCATTAGCTATTAAATTAACGCTTTTTTGGGGAATCCATGACGAAGCATGATTCCCAACTAGGTTACTTGAAATAAGGATATTCTCCGAAAGGTTATCACAGTCTCAGTCCAAAGCGACACAATATTTTTGGCAGTATTATCGTATATACGGAGTAATTTAATTTAGTTATGTGTTATTGATAAAGCTAAGTTTGATATTTACTTTAAGCATTATTATAAAATTCTAGATCTTTCTATCTGGTGATTTGTAATGCACTTAAAGTTTGTGGAGACAATTACTTAAAGTAAACTAACTATTTATTCGTCACAAAAGTAAAGGATTTCACGTGACTTGTTAATTTGCTGTGTAAGATATCTTCCGAGTTCATGTTATTTAGGATCCCAATCATTCTATCTCATATAAGATTGATAACAAGTGTCACTATTTTGAGCGACACAGTCACATAAAAAGTCGTCACATGAGATTATTAAAAAATAAATTAATTAATTAAGCTTTCTTTTGCTGTCGTGGAAGGACAGCAATGAACTGATGCAAATTAAGGTCTTTTCCTTGTTCAAAAGTTTAATCACTCTTTTTTTGGGAATCAATATTTCATAGATTATAACTCAGGACGGAAATATGAAGGCGGCAAAAGAGGATCATGTTGTGCAAAATTAAAACTTGAGGGATGTATCATCCACATGTCAATTTTTGAAGTTGATAGAAGTTAAAGTGCACTGTCCTAACCACCGGCCTGTTGGCCCAGTGGTGTGGATGTGCGCGTGATGCGGGTTCGATCCGGTTTCTTTGTAACTCAAAAAAAAAAAAGTGCACTGTCCTAAAATGAGGAGAGTTCTTTATAACTTAACGTTGTTTACAATGTACAACAGTATTTTCAATATAAATAAATGAACATAAAAAATCTGGGCACAGAGGAGGAGAGAAATGTTATTTTGTTTGCTTATCTTCCTAGTTAAAAATGAAAAAGGGACAAAAATAAATGGCCTAAAGGTGTAAATAAGCCTATTAAGAACATATTACGTATGTTTGGATTAGCTATTAGAAAAATAATTTATTGTCAATTTGGCTTATGAAAAAGTAAAGTTGGATAAAAACTAAATTGGATAAGTTAAATTACGTTTAGATTGGAGTTCAGAAAAGTTAGTTTGTAAAAGTCAGATTAATAAAAATTGTTTGAATTATAGTTGAGTAAAATAAGTTTAGTTGTAAAATGACCAAAAATAAGTATAGGTTTTAATAAATAATGAAACATGATTAAAAAAATAATTTTACATAATACAATGAATTTAAAATGATTTAATATAAAGAAGTGCAATTTAATGAGTAAATTAAATTTTAAAATTTTTAAAAAAATTATGAAAAATATTTTAAATATAAAGTGAAATATGATTAAAAAAATGAATTGACATAATACAATGAATTTAAATTAATTTAATATGAAGAAGTGAAATTTAATAAGTAAATTAAATAACAGTCCTAAAGTTTGGGGTCTTTGAATATTTTTTAATAAAAATGTACAGAAGTTTAAAAAATAAGAATGATGCGGATACCTATAGTTAGGTTAAGGTAAAAATGGGCTCTAATTTTATAATATACATACTGATATTTTTTTTAAAAAACTATAGTGTACCTAAATTATAATACGGAAATAAAGGGTAGGTCAACTAGATTTATTTACTCTTTTCGCCCCTAATTAACATCGTATTTGCCATCCAAAGCTCATCACAAAAACTGAAAATTGAAAAATAAAAAAGAACAATTCAGAACAAATAAAGTTTCATAGGCGTCGTCCTTTCAGTTATCTTCTTTGTCTTTGCCTCCGCACTTTTGTTCATCATCTTCCTCTGAATCAAATGTGTTTTTCTCCATGACTAAATAACATAATTGGCACCCAATCTTCTTCGATCGCCACGAGGTCGTGTCATAGCTCTTGATATCGTTGCAGAACCATTTCCTTGGTGGCGCCAGGGATTTCCTCGGCGATCCTCAAAAAATATTCAAAGACCCTAAATGGAGCTCACCGCGATGAGGGCAGAGCTTCTTTGAAAATTTGAAAGTGAATGAGGGAATAATAGCAGAGAGAAAAATAAAAGAGAAATGATTCCTGGCACGTCATGGTCCAGAACAAGCTCTTCAAATAAGCCCCTCTTAGGAGCTTACTTTGAAACACTCAGTCATGCAGCTTATCAACCGCAAGTCCAATTGGACACAAGCTCTCCCAAACATGATAAATCTTCCAATCGGGTTTGTAGTGAAAATAAGATACTTTTAAACCCAAAAAAAGTGATACCAAACAGGCACATTGTTAAGCCCAGTAGCGAATGTATAAAGTCCACTATTATGTAGTATGAACAGGTATGAATAAGAGTTCGAATTCCTAGTGAGATAATATCTCTATATTTAATACTTAATAGTATCTCAAACAGCATCATCTCTAATTAAAAACAATACTTGGGCGGCGCAAAAAAAAAATGTACTGCAACTCCATGCTTTTGTTCCTGCCTTCATGCTCATGGCTAAGCATTTAACTTCTTAAATCTAAATCACAATCTTATTCAAGCATGTTGAATATATTTATTCTATTCTTTTCATCTCCATGTCCCATAATTAAATTTCCTCCGTTTGAACATACCGAAACTGTATGCAATTCTCAATTTTTAAAAGTAAAAGTGCATCTTTATCTTATAATTTTACTCAAATTTTATTTTACTTCCTTCTCAATCTTATAAGTGTCTTTTAAGCCGTTTAATTTGACACCATTAGTTTCATAAACAAAAATTATTGACATTAATTGAAAATTTAAATGTTAATAAAACATTTTTAAATACTGACACACTTTTCTGGTTCTTTTTATAAAATAAAGAGAGAAAACTTTTTTAGTCTTATTTATAAAGCACTGAGATTGAGGGAAATTTTTTATACTAATATAAAATTTTACCCTTCATTTATTATTATGTTGATAATATTTACATAAGGTATAATGTATATTAAATAGGGATAAAATTGAAAAGTTATTGAATTTTAAATCAAAGCTAATAAAGTTTAAAATTTTTCTTAATCTGTGTAGAATATATTGAAAGTGACTTATAAATAAGATTAAATGAATATTAAGTTTGATTTTATAAAAATAATAATGATTGATAAAAAAAATACTTTTTAAAATTAACGGTTATAGGATTAAAACTTTGCAAAACAGACAGACCAAACCGAACGTTATATGAAATTAGAGGACCGATGCACATTAGTACCCCCCGGGGGGGGGTTTAATTTTATTCCCCTTCTCATGCTTCCTTCTGCTACTTATTCGGCTAAATTCACTTCTCAATGACGAACACATAGACACCCAATTGAATCATATATACCAGAAATGTCAGCTTCTTGTTGCAGTATTGCCCAAGATTTTACTATTTCTGTTGATATACTGCAAACTTCAATAATCAGATTTCAATCTATGGGATGCTTCTTGTGCAAGATTAGTGAGTAACATTTTGTCCATATTGACAAGTTTTTAATTAATGAATATATAACAACAGATTGATTACATGACCGGATTAATTTCCTCTCTGTAAATCACATGAACTCGTATATATTTAAACCATAAACATCAGGTCTAAACTTGAGTTCGTGGAATGACTAGCCTAATCAAGTTTACTGAATTTTCTTTAGCTTGGAACTGGAAATGGAAGATCTAATTTCGAGTTTAGAGTTTCTTTTTTTTGTTGAATTCTGGATCGTATTTGGAGTTTCCAGTAACGAAAAGAAATGTCTCCACAAGCACGCCACCCACCATCCCTATGACTCCTCCTACAGTGTTCTAAAGGATCAGAGCGAGTAAGAAAAGGGTGGAAAAACAAGACAAGTTACAGAACAACTTGAGTTTCAGACGTTACCGCAGCAGGATTATAGCTAAGCAATGCTCTGGATAATGCACGTCCAAGCACATAGGCAGTAAACATGGTGAGTACAACATGTAAACCTGAAGAAAATTAGAAAAGAACAATAGTCAAACATTAAATATACATCAGAGATAGGAAAACACTGACTATAGAAGATACAAGAAATATTCACACATGGCAAATGACAGACAGCAGAAAAGGCCAGATGGATTTGTGCCAAAAGATTCAAATAGTCAATGCATGATACATGAAGAATGAAATACGTAAGAATTAATGTTCTGTTTCCTTTCCAATTCACGAATATTATCAGAGATTTAGGGTTGGTAGACAACTTTTTTTTTTTTTAATAAACAAATTTTAGGAAAAGGGTTAGGTTCACCCAAGATCCAAGGGCAGGACACCTAACGCTTGATCCACTAGAGCCTGTCCTTACTCGCACGGGAGCATGACAAGCAAGTCTTTTTTTCTGACCCAATAGGTAGAAATCTTCCAACTTCACTATATTGTGGCGATATCTCCTCTAGCGCCGCAACTGGAGTCACAACAAAATGACACTCTCCAGGATCGAACCCTCTCTTTTTGGTGAAAGAGTCCGACCCCTTCACTAGCTGAACCCACTGACAGGGTAGTAGACAACTTTTATCAGATCTAGTTAAAAACAATCTGAAAATCAGTTGTTAGTTATTTTCCGCCAAGCTATCTGTGTGTATAAACACTGCTCTTATGAATGAAAGATATCTCTCTCTTCTTCCATATTGTGATATATCAGAGCCACATTGTGATAAATAATGCCCTTTCAACTTGCTGGGTTCAGCTTAAATACCCAATAAAAAAACAACAGTACAAATAATAATTTAGTGTAGTATCCAGAGTGAACTGCACAGCAATCCATGACAGAGAGAAGCGAACGAGAGTACAAGACTTTGCCAAACCCCAATTGATTCGTATAAGCAGATAATGGCTCGATTACATCCTTCATCCTTCACAAGTTCTTCATACGCATTCCTCTCTGCTATATCTTCAACCTTCTTTAATCTCGCCTTCAGTTCTTCACTCTTCATATCAAAAGCATTACATCAGGAGAGAATCAAGATTTATGAGCAAGTTTTATTTGACAGAACGAGAACATCATCATGTGACAATAAAACATTTCAAGTTTAGTGGACCTGCAGACGTATACCTTGAGAATAAATTTTGACGACAAAATTGTTGAGCTAAAAAGTGCGTTTCAATCGTAGTTTATTTTGACTCATCAACTGCATTAACGAATGCTTCAAAGTGAAGTTCACAAGCGACGTAAGCTCATCCAACCCATTCGGAAGCAATTACTAACCGATTTCACTAGTCAAACCTAAGAACAATGCAAAATCTACCGAAATGCCGTCTAGAAATCTTTCCTGTGATGAAATTAGCAGGAGAACAAAGCAAGAATTACCTTGCGTCTGAGCGTGGGGCTATGGAACACAAAATGGGATCCGTAGAAGAGCGAGATCAAATTGGGTCTAGTGGAAGGATCGGAGGCGATCCAGATAGACCGAAATGGCGCGTAAGGAACATTGGAGAGCCAGAACAGGTCCGCAGCGCATTGATGAAGCTCTTCGGAGAGAAGCGGGTCCTTGGAAGCTTTGGAGAGAAACAAGTGAATAGAGTGGTGGTGGACAACACCAGCCCCGACGTGTTTTCCATCTCCGTGCGATCTTCCCCCGACGAACTGAAGCAGTTTATTCAGTTTCTGGTTTCTTTTTGGGCCACAAAATGGGCCTCAATATGGGCCAAGAGAAACACTTGTAGAAACAAAAATCCTCAAGCAAAAAAGAAAATTTTTTTTTTTAATTTGAAAAGGTTAGCAAATAGCATTTAATATGAATTGTAAAAACGATTGAACAATTTTATAACCATTTTTATACAAAATTAAAATATTTATTCATTTTATTAATATGCCATGCAACACCTGTGATGAAGAAAAATCATGTTTGCAGGAAAATTAAAAATAGTTTAATGTGAGTACAATTTGACACTTGAATTAGAATTTATGAGTTCAATTGTTAACAGTTCTAATCTTGATTTTTATTTTGTCCCAGATTTAAATGATAACAAAATCATTTCAAATATTGCAGCTCGTAGAAATCACAAATGGAATAAATTCCTGTTTTCACATTCATTCTTATGAAGAAGAGGAAGGGGAATTAATACAAATTCAGGGCTATGTGAATTTCACTTGAGCTCCCATGATTCCATTGTCAACACGCATCTGACTTTTGTGAGAATGGAGCTTAAAGCATTTCTCCCTTTCACATTTTACACGCGTATACAATTTTAAGGATGCTTCAAGAAAAATCTCTCTCAATATAATATTCTCACCTTTGTCCCATCACTGTGACAAATGCACAATTATGAAGCGTGCCTCCATCTATGGCTCAATCTAGAATTTCGTAACTTCAGTAACAGAAGAACCAGCAACACCGTCTCTGATCAAAATACAAACCAATGAAGGTACACTAATAATTGAACGAGTTTCTTCACTATGTATTATACACGGAACAGATTCAATACATTCAATGTAAGATCTTCTTCACATACAATCTCATCATCGTGAAAAGAATGAGAAAAAGATCAAGGGAATTAACTATCAGATAGGGATTATCCCTTGCCTTCCTCTGCTGATAGAGAATCCCCCACTTGAAAACGATCTCTTCATCACAATCGGACTCAATACACACTGCAACATGCTTCTTCTGCTGTTAGATTTGATGCTTTCTCCTCGAGATCTCTTTGATGGACCTGCTTCATTAACAGAGCCTTCTTCTTCTACTCGGTTGCCACTTTGAAATGAATGGTCCATAGAAACTGACCTTCTAAACGGTTCAACGTCTTCTTCATCTTTAATCTCAATCACATTATGCCTTCCCTGCAAATTCCCCAAATCGCTCATAGCACGCAATGTAGGCTTCGGAGCTGTACCGCGTTGTATGGTTACTTCACTTTCTTCTTCCACTGCTAAACCCACCACTTCATTGTTATCATTCCCGGGTTGATTTTCCTGGAAAGTTGAATTCTCCATCGTGGAATCAGATGCCAGAAGAGCTGAACCGTTGAAGGTGAAGATACTGGCACGACAGAGAGGGCAAGAGGAGTGAGATTTGAGCCACGTGTCAATACAAGGGATATGAAAAGCATGGCTACACTTTGGCAAGAGCTTGATACTGTCATCGTCTTTGAACTCACTGAGACAAACAGAGCAATCTGATACTGCCACTAACCCATCTTCTTTCTTGTACTTACAAACTGTGATGGACTTGATCAGAGCCTCGTCTAAACCATTACGTGATGCGTGCCATGGTTCATGAAGGGAACGATCGTGAAATTGTTCCAACTCATCACTGGAAGGGTCGTGATGCTGTCTATCTGCAGATTCTGGGTTGCCACAGTACCTGGAGATTATGGTATAGTAGCTCACAAGAAGAAGAGCACTGGCCAAGATTCCAATGACTGCTATAACCAGAGGTGAAAAATTGGGGCTTGAATTGTCTTCGGGAAATTCAAAGGGAGGAGGAGGAGGATACACTATGTAACACCATTGTGGACAGTACAGACTACAGAAGCCTTGAGAACAGTCTTTATTGTTCATGTATGGAACCCAACTTCTGGGGTTCCCAAGAGAAGCCATGGATGAAGCTGCAGACTAAAGCATGAACAATCTTGTAAATTTTAGTTTCAGAGAATGTCAGACAATACAAAGACTAGCAGAAGAAGAAGGATATCAGAAAGCTAGATATAGTTAATTTTAAGGAGCATAACTGGAACTTCTGCAGCAAGCTGACACAAATGAGCAGAGAAATGAAGTGGGTGAACTGTGAAGTCTTTATTTATGTTGTTAGAGAGATTCGAGGGCAATGGAGGCATAAATTATGGGGTGAGATAGAGAAAGAAGACAGAAGGTAAGTTTCTATCAAGGGGAAAAGATGGTGTGAAAAAGCAGAGGCAAAGACAAGGAAAATGGGGGTGGTGATGGACACTTTAACTTTTTGTTTTTGGTTCTTTCCTCTTTTCTTTTTCTCTTTCCATGTTCGGAGCTCCTTTCTCCGTCTCTAGCTTATCTTGCTGGGTTACAACTAGCCAAAATTTGTTGACTAAGGAAGTGGTATTGATTGTTGGGTGGGAATTGATTGAGCAATCACTGCTTTTTGATTGAGTTCACTGCATGAGGTTTTAGCTTTGAAGTTTTTCCGAAGTAATTGCTCAAGAAATTCATTGCTGCACGTATAGGTTTGTGTAGAGTCAATTGGCCGTCAAGTTAGCTGTACCTGAAGCAGAGACATGTACTAGACTCTATAAAGGTAGAATTTCAGGGTTATTATTTTAGAATTGCTGTGAATTCCTTTTCTTTTATTATTATTGTTATTAATTTGACATCTGAGGTTTTTATAAGTTTCAATTAACGATAAATTATGTGTTTAATTTGAATGATGATGTAATGAATTCCGTGAACAAGAAAGCCCTTATTATAATTGGGGCATCAAATTAAGACTTCACATCACATCATTGATCTTCCTTTGAGACTGCTGGTGTGAGATGTCATTCCACTTTTTCTTAGTTTATTGTTTCTTGCTGCCCGTAGCGGACCTGCTTCACCCGGCTCTCTCTCTATGTATATGTTTTTGAACGTAGCTTTTTACCCTTCTAAGAGAAGAAATTGAAATTCTATTGTTTCACTTCATTCCAAAATATATTTCTTAAAAGAAAATTATTTTTAAATAATTTTTAATACACATATATGTGTATAAATATATAAGGCTTATCCAATCAAAAGCTTAGGGGAACATGATATAGACTTATAGTGCATCTACCCCATTTGTCTATCTTCTTTCTGTGGGCCTTCACGACACTCCATCCGATTTCGCTTTGCATATATTCTTCACAGGATTCAGAGTCAAGTGAAATAAACACAGATCCATGGCCTTTAATCACTTGATAATCTAAATTATATGTAGTGATGAATTAGACGGGGCATCATGAGAATCCATTCCATCGTTAAGGGAATACAAAGTTCCAGTATAAAAAACAGAAGATCTGTGTGGTCGGAGAAGATCTATAATATAATACTCCTCCGATCCTTAATATAGAATCCAATTATTAAATTGGTTTTGGTTCTAAATATAATACTCATTTCTTATATTTATCAATTTTATCTAAATTACCCTATGGATACTCCTCAGCCATAATCAAATAGAAGAGGAAAAGAAGGTATTAAAAAAGATAATTATGGTATTTTAGGAAAAACGTGTCAAGTTTCTTATAATCAACTAATTTACCTAATTTTCTTAATCTAATTAAATTAGTTAAATGAATCTTGGATCGAAGGAGTACATAATTATTTTGAAATTATGTATAGTTAATTATAGAGAATGATAGTGAAGGTCCCAAAATAATTATATGCAAGTGTAGTCGGAGATGAGTCTTTTGATAGATCTAAGGAGCAAGTTCCGTTAATTGATTACAAGAGAATGATTTGATTTTACGTACTTTAGATAAAGAATTAAGTAACAAATTAAAGTTACTCCATCAAAAAAAGTAACAAATTAAAGTTGCTTAATTAATTAATAATTCATGAATCTGACTCTCCACGAAGAAAACGGGCTTGCGAAGAACGCATCGGCCACATGCAGAAGAACATGGGGGGGCTTAACCTGCTTATTATTGCAAGTATTATTGTCTATGGCTTTCTGGGGAACGTAGTAGCCAGAGAAGGACATGGCATGAGAAAGTTGTGCAGAGGGAGAGTGTTGTTCAGCTTTAAGAGCGACGTAATCATATGCACAGAAGCCAATATATTCCTTGCTTCAACCCTCTTTTGAGTCTCTTCACAATCAAACAAAGACCCACTTCTTTCTTTCATGTCCCTATTCCCTACAACTATAGAGGTTTTCTGCATTCAGCTGTTTCTCCTGTTCATAATTTTCTCTCCACACCTTAAAAATGAAGGCATAAGACCTAAAACTTATTTAGATAATAAAAATAAGAGTTAATGCTCTCATAGTGTAATGACATGAGATTTTCTTCAATAAATGGGAAGTTCGAAAACGATGAGAGTGAGATGGAGTTTGGATACATAAATATCGCACAGAATTATTGTCAAATAATATGCAGCAGTTACTTAACCAATGGATCGGAAGAACAATGGTGCTCAAGAAATTGTAAAAGTTTTTCCTTTTGCAGATATCTTGTTATATATGGACAGCATGTGGATAGTATCTTATATCATTTGATATGTTAATTGTGAAAATCATTTAAAGTTTATTAATTTTCTTTTAAAAAAAACAATTTCCATTGAATTTTGCATGTTGTTGTAGCTAAATTAATCCATTATACCAAGTTGATTAAGGTACTTGATTGTGATTCACCGCATAGTTTATATAATATATTACCTCCGGTTTTTAATATAAGAACTCGTTTGATTTTATTTTGATTCTAGATATAAGATCCTAATCCACTTTATCTCTCATATTTATCTTTTTTTTTCAAGAAGTCTTTGTAATAATGATAATTCTAGTCAATACATTTAATTAGTAAAGAAATGTGAATACATATCATGTATGTTATAGAAGGAACGTTGAATAAGTCAACTTGCATGCTGGAAAAGTTATCAGTGCTCATGGATTCTTTCTTCTAAATATGTGCATTACCTGCAAAACAGATCGCTGCCAACTACCATATTCTCTCTAGTACTGTTCGAAGTATTCCTTTTCATAAAGCCACACTCAATGTCACATGAGACCCAAACATCAAAATCCCAAATCTGAAACTACTCTCTCTTGCTTTAGTACCTTACAGAGAGCCAAAGCAAGGCATAAATTTTTGTGGGGCGCCATGTTATCAAAAGACCACTGAGTCATTGTTTTACGATATCACCAACAAGACACTTTCAGAAACCAACAAAATAAAAAAGAAACATGCCACTGAGCAACAATGTGGTCGGAGCCATCAACTTCATCGCCATTCTCCTCTCGATCCCGATCATTGCCGCCGGAATCTGGCTGACGACGGAACCAGCCGATTCCTGCGTCAAGATTCTGCAATGGCCGGTGATCATACTGGGTGTGCTCATATTATTAGTGGCTGTAGCCGGATTTGTGGGAGCCTTCTGGAGAATCCCAAGACTCCTTCTCTTGTACCTCGTCGCAATGCTAATTCTGATCATTTTGCTGCTTTCCTTGGTGGTATTTGTCTACATGGTGACGCTCAGAGGTCATGGAGATGTCGAACCTAATCGTGCTTACTTGGAATATCATCTCGATGACTTCTCTCTGTGGCTTCGTCGCAGAGTCAGAAGTTCCTTCAAGTGGGATCGCATCAGAAGGTGTCTTAGCTCCACAAATATGTGCGCAGACTTGGACCAACGTTACAGAATGGCTCAAGACTTCTTCAACGCACACCTTTCCCCCATGGAGGTACACACTTGGATTCTTCTTATTAAATGAAAGTCTCTGTTTTGTGTGTGTGTGTGTGTGTGTTTGATTCTGGGTTTATTGGGTTGTAGTCTGGGTGCTGTAAGCCGCCGACAAAATGTGGTTACCAGTTTGTGAACCCAACGTATTGGATTAGTCCGATTGATAATGGAGGTGATGAGGATTGCTCGAAATGGAGCAATGACCAGACCCAACTGTGCTACGCCTGTAATGCTTGCAAGGCTGGTGTGCTAGCAGATCTGAGGAAGGAATGGAGGGGGGCGAATCTGATATTGGCCATTACTTTGGTTGGTCTGATTATAGTTTATGTGATGGGGCTTTGTGCCTTTAGGAATGCCAAAACTGAGGAGCTTTTTCGCAAGTACAGGCAAGGCTACACCTGATGAACAAAATCCCACCTTAGTTATGTCCTCATGTTAATTACTAGTGATGCTGTGTTATATGAATTTCTCTTTCTTATTTGTGGAGTTATTTCATGTAATTCTTTTTTCCCCCCCTACACTTTTATATATGTTAAGAATTCGCAGAAAGAGCTTTCTTGAAGAGTGATGTCTGCGCATACCAAATCCATAATCTAATATATAACCGTTAAAATAACAGTACAAAATGTTGCGCAAAACATAAAACCAGCCAGTATTAATAACCACTGTTTTGACCCAAGACACCAAATGAAAAGCTAGCAAATAAGAAAAAAGATGAGGGAATTAGAAATTTAAGTTGAAACAATATTAATGTTGGAGGAGATTTTGGGAGTCATATCACCGTTCCGAGATTGGGCCGATCTTTTGGGCCCATAGTTTTATTGAAATGGAGCTCAAGTCCATGGGTAGGGTGGGCCGGTTCGGACCGGCCCATACCGATGCGTCGGAACAAAGAGAAACAGAGAGTTGGGATTGTGACATTGTTTAGTTTTGGAGAAGAGTGATGTGAGAAGAAAATGGAATAAGGAAGGAACGTGCAAAGGTAGTTGAAAGGAACTGTGAGGAAGAAGGGTGACTTATGTATAACTGACATCGTGACGAGTCTTAAGAGGCACCACTTGTCGTGTTCCTTTGCCTCCTCTTCATTATTCATTCCTTTCATTTTCACCTCAGTCTTCCCCATTCACGCCATCCCATATTTAATTTATTGCCCATCCACTCTCCTCCACTTATTCGATAAATATAATATTTATGCATAAACAGAAGACATACAAAAGAACAAATTTTACATATGATTCAATCCAAAAAACCAATGAGCTGAGGGTGCGAATTATGATGATGGATACAATAGAACCAACCAGCCCCTTATTGGCCAAAAATCGAAAAAGGAAAACTATTATATAATTCCACATAACCTATTCATCACTAAAAAGTCTTTGCACAATTCAAGATGCTTAAAAATATTTAGGTTGTTTCATGTGAAATTGCACAGTACTTTTTGGAATAACCTTGAAGCGTGAGACGCCCACGAGAAAATGACGAGAATGAGTAGCTAGTTTAAAGTTTTGAAATGGGGGTTGCATCCAAACCACAACCCCACGACTTCTTTTCATTCAGTCATTAAGTTGGAAAGTAAAGTTGACCTTTATATGTTGCGAACTTTGAGAGATTCAAGGTCATTGAGATGGCAATTATTTGCCTTCTTAAATAATTTAAGTGTTCGTTTTTCAGTTTGGACAAGTTAAGGAACATTATTTTTGTGAACTGATAAGATTTCACACGATTGATTAAGTAATTAAGCATTCACGGGAGGCAGAATAGTTTTCACCCCGAGGACGAGTCGCACAGAATAAAACTCATTAACTCAAAATTTTAATACTGGAGAGACGTTGACCCATCATACTTTATATTCAGTGAACCAGGCCTCTGCCCACATTGCATGTGCCACGACCAACTACCTCCCACCCACAATATCACATGCCCAGAATTCGGGGAAAATAAAAAACATAAAACATAGTTAAATAAAACAACATCTTATAAAAAGCATTAAAATTATATTTGTAGTTGGAGTTGCGTGCGGTCATCAGATGGTGAAGTCCCTAATCATGATGGATTTGGGCCCACGGTGTCTGATGGGCCCCATGAAAAAGCAATTGGCCCATACAAATCTCGACAGCAATACTTGGATGATGCTTATCCAGTTTGAAACTGCACTTTTATGGGTGATCGAGAGCACGTCTCTCCTATTTCTCCTTCGTACGTTACGTTATTCTCATTTTGCCGCCTCAGGGATTGGTTGTGACAGTCTCGTCTCTCCCATATTCCATTTCATTCCCACTTCTCTCCAATTATTCGCCCCCAATCTTCTCTTCTCTGCCCAATTACTATGCTTTTTTTGCCCTGCATGACCAATTGCTATAGGAGAAGTACTACAATCACTCGGTCATTTTAAAATTTTAAGTTCATATATTAGACTATTACTCCTTATTTCACTTTTGTCTCTCCAGCAAGAACACTTCATTTTCTAAGCCTTGCCTTTTCTTTTTTTTTTTGGGTAGTGTTCTATCGTTGGCGCTTTTGGCAGGAAATAAATGGTGTGTTTACATTTGCAGAGCCAGCAAAGAGTCAAAAAAGAAGGAACAGAACAACACAAGCTAATTATAGAAGATGGGAAATCTCAGGCCTCTGTAATTTCAAAAGCTTACTTCCTACCTGCCCGTGTTGTCCCACATTGTCAAAAATTGATCAGAAAACCCAGCTACACAACTGGTTCCTGCAACAAGTCAATCGTATATTTTTAGAAACTAGGATTACTATTCAAAGACGCAATGAACATATTGAGTGTTTGTAACCAGTTGATTGGATCACACCCAGGATTAAGTGTATTAACTAGAAACTCAAATGGGTTTTGATTTGAATATTTCGTATTTGCACTTTTTTTTAATATCCTACAACATCTAAGAAACAAAATACTGTGTACTTTGAAGTTAACGGTATAACCTGCACGTTTCATATCAATGCTTTCATTTGTTTTATCATTACCTGTCAAGACTACATTTTTGAATTATTGTAATACTATAAAACCTGAGTCAGCACAGCGTTGATTGAAAAATTTCATCAAGATAAACATTAGTTTTATGAATCATTTAGTTAACTTCTAATTTAAGTTCCCCCAAACTAAAATTTCTTCTCACTCCAACTCAGATTTAAACCTAACAGAACGACTGAAACTATAGATATTCCACATCGTCATGTGTCATTGATGTTTAAAGAAAGGTTTACTAGACACAGACGACATGTAGAGAGCATTATTATAGACATAGATATAAGCAAAGTAGGTATTGCTGGTAGCCTGAAACAGATAGGCAATGAGAGAGCAACAGCACAAAGCTAAGGACCCACTTAAAGGATGATGGAATATGATAATGAAGATGGTGTGAATAAGATTATGGACGTGGAAGAGGCCTTCTTTTTCTTTACCCATCATCATCATCATTTAGGGTTAGTAAATTAGTGACATCACGGCTTAAGCAACTTGATTAACTAGGCCCCACTTAATTCACTTGCACATAGCAACTTGTGAAAAGAATGGCTCAATCTTTTAATGCGGCGTTCGTGCTTGATGAGCATAGCGTGATAGTGAAATTGCAAACCCTAATTCATTAATTTAATGTAAGGAAATCCTTTCATCTTAATTAAATTATTAGATGTAACATGATTCACGTCGGATGTATTCATTTTTAATTACCCAATTATCAATTCAGGGAGTTTTAAAAATATACTCCTCTGGTCCATATAAAGGTCTTATATTTAGGACCGGAAGAGTAGTTTATTCCGGTTATTATGTTTTGTTTTTTACTTTTCATTTGTGTAGTCGTGAAAGATTATTAAACGAGCTAGTTCATGCTTTATTAGTCGATCACGTTTGATGTCCTTCTGAAATATATTTATCTGTTGATTCCAAAGAAAATATATAGTAATTAATTACTTTGGCTTCAAAATAACTGCTGTTTTAAAATTTTTAAAAAATATTAATTATTTCTATTCCTTGCTAATTCCCGATTTTTTGCTGTGGAAGAATATATGTGCAAGAGATATATAGTTAAAAATTAAACGTCACTATTTTTTCAGTGTTAAAGGGCATGATAGATTAAAATATGAAGGATACATTATCAGATTTGAATTTTTTAGAATCTAACTATGGCATTATGTCCGAATTAACTTATAATTTGTCTGAGTTGTATGTGGGGATGGTGAGCAAATGAACAATAACAAGAATAGAATGTGGAGAGTGAGGGACAAATCCACCCACCATTTTTTTTTCATGTTACAGTGTACTCTGATATGGCTGCCACAATGCATGCATTTCCCCATATATTTAACATGCAGAACCCAAGCTTCTACATATTTATCTGTCTTTCAAAAGTTACAGACCCTGCATTTTTTTTAAAGCTTTTAAAGTCTCCATAATCCTCTGAAAGAATCTTTAATTTGAAAAATATTGTCAATACTTAATGTCTTGCAGATGTGATGTCCTGAGATGTACAATCAAGACGCATTAATAAGGCAGGCCACAAACCACCGAATCCATTATCCATATATCGAAACGGATAGATCCGTAAAATCAGAAAAATATATATGTTTTGTTAAAGAGGAGATATATATTAGATATATATAGGGCAATTATATATATTCAACTTCTATTCTCTACTTTCAATGACTAAGTCTATAGTATCTGCTTGCCAATAATAGAGATTCTTATCAAGCTCCAACACTGATTGGAATATTTTATCTTTTCATAAGATTATATGCTACGTCACTTCTCATATGTTTCACTTGGTTGAAGTAAATAAAGTGAACCAAAAAAGTTACGAGTACTGTAATTTTTTTTTTAACCATCCCATTTGCCATAAAGGATGAAACATTGTCACGGACTGATGAGTCTTAAAGGCCAGGGTTTGTCTTTACATAAAACTGATGATACTTGTGAAGAAAAGTGTGATATGATTTGTGACGGTTTTTCAGTTGAGATTTGCTTGGTCTATGACTAAGTCAACATTACGGGCCGCCTAAATAAACATCTAGTAATGTTTGAAATTTTTTTCTTTTTCCATTTTTGGGGAAAAAAATGGGGGAAAGGTTCAAACGTTGACTATAATTACAGGGGTAAGATGAAAGGCCGAAGCCAACGTTGGTGTCCCACCACATACCATTGGGTGTCCCCAAAGAAACAGTCATGTTTTGGAAGTCAAACTTACTGAATGATTAGTTGGAAATTATTACCAACATCACTTGTACTCCCAAATATTTTAACAAAAGTCAAAATATCAAAACCCTCCTGCTCAACATCATAAAATTATACTAGTCTGTGTGTGTGTGTGTGTATTCTTCTACAATGGACCCAATTCTACGCAATCATCGTTCTTGAGTAATACTCCGATAAACATATTTTCAGACAATCAAGTTGCTCAAGAAAAATTAATTAGATGTCCTATACCATTACCTATAA